GACTCCTTTAATGGTTCATGGTACGGTGTTTTTTCCTGTAAGCTGTAATTACAGCAGGGTTGCAAACAGTCTGCTGCCCCAGGGGAACAGTCCAGAAGGCTCAACAGCTGCAGCCAGGCCATTTCCACAAGGCTGAAGTATGTAACATCTGTTGTCCTTACAGCAAAGCTGGGCAGGTGTCACCTACCAAATGTTGAGGTGATGCTAGAGGTGATGCATCCCTTTTTTTCTAAGCCTGGTAGAGCGTGGGTCACTGCCATCATTAAGCAGGAGGCACTAGGGCTCGTTCAGACAACCCAGACAAGTGTCTGAATTGGCTAAACCACTACTTTTTTCCTGTGTGGTTAATTGTGGTTTAGGTGAACAAATGTCTTTGCTTCCTGTTTCCACTTGCCAACCACGTTTGAGAACTAGGAAAAGAAAAAATGGAGTCATCCGAACCTGCTCACTGAAGACATCTTGCAAAAGAGGTTTGCCAGAGGAAAGCCTGGCTAGGAATGGTAATAGCCCAAATAGCTGCTAGATGTTACAGCAGCTCACTCGTACTTCTGCAGAGCAGCTGTGTAGAGTCTAATAGAGGTGCACAGAAACAGTCATGGCTCTGCTGTCTGCAGTGAAGGCCAAGCAGCCACAAACGGGCTATGAAGATGTTTAGGATTTGGAAGTGTGGCTTTTTATGCTGTTGAAAGCAGTTGGACAACAGCTGCAGTATCCATGCCTCCTGCAGTTGACCTCAAGCTTGTTTAAACAGGTAATCAAACTGTTTCTGCTTTTTTTCCCCTAATTCTCTTGGGGGAGGGGATAGATGTCCCAAAGTCATGCTAGTTCAGCGACAGTACCATGCTTTGTTCTGAGCGTGGAACCATGCCGTGTGTTTGCTTCCACAGGTTGCAGTCACGTAGCCATTGTTTTAAGGCTGGTGGTTTGCACTTCCATTGACTGAGGTTAGGAGGGTTGCTGCAGACAGAAATCAACACTCGCAAGTAAAATTCCTCAGTTGCTTCTTTGTGTCTAAATCCCACCCGGGTGGGTTTATGCAGCTGGGTACTGCTGTAGCACTTTTTTTACACATCTAAGGTTAAATCTGAGGGACCACAGAGCATCCATGGAAGTAATAATAATGATACTTGTTCTTTTAATGCTTAAGACTGTTCTGGTGTCTTGCCTTCATACATTAACGGAAGTAATCTGTTAGGCTTTACTTAGGCCTGTCCTCTGATGCTCGGTAACAGGACTTACTTGAACTGAACAGTGACATGAGAACTGGAAGAGCTGCTTGCATGGCATCCATGGGGTCAGACCAGCCCCAGGCCCATCAGATGCTGCTGTACTCCAATACAGCAAAGTTTCAGCGGCACGGGAGAGCAGTCTGATGACATAAAGCCACATGGTCTAGAGTGGTCCAGGGTGATCTGACAGAGCAAAGGCTCTGTCCGCTCTGGAAAACTGGATAAAAGAAACCAATACAGCTGAGTAAGGCTGGGTTTGGACACGTGCTCCACAGGGTGGTACAGCACACAGCCCCGAGCAAGATAGAAAACTGCAGTAGACACACACAGCTGAATTTTAATAGGGCTTAGAAGTCTGTATTTGTACTTACATTCCATTTCGGTCTTGGATGCAGAGATAAAGAAGAGTTTAAACCCTCAGAGCAGCAGGGAGCAGAACATATAAGTGGCCTTAAAAATGTTTCCAGTGGAAACGGTAAACAAAGCACAAGGGAAAGGGCTCGCTTTGTGAAGCTGCAACACCCAAGTTTCGTGTGTGTGGGGCCTTGCTGCAGTCTAAGCTGGTATTTCACAAGCCAGCCTTTGTAATAGCTTCAGTCAGTATCAGAAGCAGCACTGACAGCTGTTTTTATAGCTTAACAGCCAAAAGAGAAACAGCGGGTTGTGGGTTTTTTTGTGTGTTTGTTTGGTTCTGTTTGTTTGTTTGTTTTCATTTATTTTCCCTGTTTAAAAGTTGGAAAAGAAAAACTGAGGGGGGGAGGGGTTCTTGCACATTTTATGGCTTCAAGCTCTGAGCTCTCAGCCTGTTCCCACCACCAGCAGCTTCCTCACACCACCAAAATTCATGCAAAACTGAACTGTCCAGAGGTGGGAGTCTACTCTGCAGGCAATAAATGAGAGTCCAAGGGTCGAGTCCTGCTGCATGCAGCACAGGTAAGGAAGATGAAAGGAGGGAACTGGTCCTGTGACCAAGCACAGCTAAGCAAGTTTTCTAACTCTTCCAGTAGTGAAATGGGGCTACTGAAAAAAATGGGGTGCCTCTGGCTGGAGCGAAGATGCATAGAGAAGAGAGAGGGAGGGCAGGGCACAGTGCCTGGTCTGCAAGAAGGTGGCAAACGGCTGGAGGTGCTGTGGATGAGGAGCAGCCTGGGGTTTCCCAAAAAAGCATCTCACTTGATGTGCACACAGCAGTCCCCATCTGTCCCTGCCGGGTGCAGGGCTGCTGGAGCAGGCAACGCGAGAAAAGCAAACGCAGCCCATTCTTGGTCACCCCTCCCCACTGGCCTTTGCCTGCCGCGCTCACACACACCGCTTGCCTCATGGCAGAAACCCACGCACCGCTGACGCTAAGAGAGTGGGGCCAGGCTGTGGGGAGGAGGAATTGCTCTGGTGCAGCTCTCCAGCCGTGCAGTCACTCGGGCAGCTTTTTGTGTGAAGGCAGTTGCAGTTTGCAGTCACAAGTCCAGCCAGCTGAGGGGCAGCTGTTGTGAGAAAAGACGTCTGACAATGGTGGAGAGAGGTAATGACCGAACGAGACATTTTTTCCTAGTTTCTAGGGATTGTTTTTTCAGTCTCCTGGCTGCCCGGCCCCTTTCCATTGCTGCCTTGTGAGGCACTAGCTGGTTCCCACAATGGCTGACAAGAACACCTAAAGAAGGGGCAAAGGAAATGCGCTTACCCTTGCTCATATCGATAACTGCTTGTGCGGCCCCTGCAGCTGCCAAGGTAACAAGCAGCTGCTTTAGAGCAGCATACTGGGGCCTGGCCCAAGAGCAACACGAGGGTTCACGAGCACACCACAGCTGGGAAGGGAACAGCGGTGCAGGAACAGCTTTACACTTCACCAAATGTCGTTAATCCAGCTCCTTTCACACAGGTGGTTTGGTTTGGTTGGTTTTGGGTTTTTTTTCTTCATTATAGCACCCTTATCCCCCACTCCCCAATCTAGAAGAAAAACCCTGCGCTTTCCACTTGCTCCTTCCCCTGAAATGCTGGCTTGCATTTCCATTTCCTGATGGCACCTCCAGGTGACATAATGCAGCCAGCTGGTTTACTCGGCCCATCCCACCCAGACACTCCTCACGCTGCCCCAGGAACCAGACAGAGCAGGAAGCCCTGACCTTACAATAAAGCTGGGTGAGAGCTGCTCAGATCAGACATCTTAATGGATACAGGTATGGAACAGACCTGCAAAGCATCTGAGACACACAACTTTCCGAAACCTTTTCCCAGCAGCGGATGCACATGCAGGACAAGAGAGATGGAAAAATCCACCTCCGTACTGAGACACTCGGGGACCTCAGCCTCACAGCATGAGCACAGCTTCAGTGCGACAGCAAAGCTTGGTGCCACCGCCACTCTGGTGTGTGTGCAGAGTCACTCTTGGGCCAAGCAGGTCTCTGTGCCAAGAGGAAGCACTGCTGCTATTTCTTCACGTCTAAAAGGCCATCAAATTCAGACTGTATATAGCATATATAGAAATAACTTTTAATTAAAAAAACCAACCTTGCATCAAAGGTTATTGTATCAGACATTGAGGCAAGATTCAAGTTTAAGACAAACCAGTGTTAAAAAGTGTTTAAAAAATAATCAGAATGTGCAATAAACTACAATGTAGCAATAGGCTGTAGTGTCGAAACTTTACTGTCTTCAGATGCCCAGTGTGTAGTTCCTGTCATTTGGACAAAAAATAAAATAAAGATTGACGCTAAAACTGGGTCATCTGTCCAGTGCCATTCCAGATATCACAAGGGGAAGAAAATCTTGCACAAAAACAGAGACTCCTATAAAACTGCCTTCAACTGTCCTACACAGAAAAACTTCTTGTCGATGGATTATACCTACAGTCAATGTTTAATCGTTGTTAATACCTCTTGAGGTTGCAGATACATTCCAAACTATGCTATTTAGGTGCAAGTTTAAACAACTTGCTTTTGTTTCCTCGCTGGGAAGTTAAACATCTATCCAGAATCACAGTGGAAAGATTTTTCTTTATTGGCCTTTTAGACATACATCACCTTTTCCTTTTCAGCTAGTCACCAAATGTTGGCATACTTACGAGACTCTTACAAGGCACTGTCAGAAATCTGATCAAGACTTTGTCTTTCTTTAACATATTAAAGCAAAATATTATGAGCCTCATTAGCTACTGAAGGACTAAGGAAGCAAGATGACCCAAACCACAGTGTTCAAAGAGCTGCATCACCAATTTAACTTGACTCCTCTTTCCTCCCGTTTGTCCGAAGCAGAAACCTTACTTTCTGAGTAGCAGCTATATTGACTATTGAAATGCAGTGGTCTATTTCTATCTTATTGCTCGAGGACATCTATATGAAACATGTCCTGACACTACTGAGAGCTGAGTACAGATTTTAAGCTAGGTGCAAGGCTTCTAGAGCGCCTGCTTTGAAACTGCAGGTTCTCACCTACTCTTATCCTGTGCGTGGGTTACGCACATGCATTTGGAGAGGCAGGTTTCTGCCCTGTGGCCATGCCACACAGGAAAATAACCTGAGGCTCTCTCTTCTCCCAACTCTTTTCTCAAGTAGTTTTTCTGTGTTCAGTTGAAGTTGCTGGTTAAGGTGGACAGCATATCCTGCTGCACCAGAATCCACTAGAACCAGAAATGCATTTGAACACAAACAAAACAGAAAAAGATGATTATTAATAAACGTGGCAATATGACAACAGAAAGTGAATGGTGCCAGCAATTTATGAGCGCCCACTCCCAACACTGGGAATATTAAGACTTCCAGCTTGAAATGATTACTTTCTCTTGGGGTTCAGGAAGAAGAAAGTGTTGTCTTTGGGATTTATCCTGCCTGTTACAAAGCAAGAAAGAAAATATATTATATGCAGCTAACATACAGGTTTTGAATTGTGCTGTCATATGCTGTGTGAACAAGAGAGATTTTTACCTTACACTTTTCTCCACCTTAATTGGCTTTCTTAATGAACCATATTATTCCCTGTCACCTTTGTTTTCTTATATTGTTGATTCCCGGGCAAACATTCTCGCAGTCTTCTGACTCTTCGGTAGATGGTTTTCGTGGTGCATGGCCACTGTCTGGCAAACCAGTGGGTGTGCAGGAATTGCAGAGAGTGTCGCTGGGGAAAGCTGCACTTGACATTTCAGTCTGATTCATTATTTGATCTTGGCACAGTAAAGCTTCTACCTCTTCGTCTTTTAGTGGAAAAACTCGAAGTTCCCACAGCCCAGACTGAAAGGAATCAGAATGGTAGGAGTGAGGGCAGGAAAAGAGAAAAGGGGGAAAAGCGTTTTCAGTTGAGTCTTAACTGTTCAGCTATGTGCAGAATGATCTGCTACCAAGTAACAAACGAGTGTCTGTCTTTACAGTGTTTGCAGGTCTCTTTGGATAAAGAACATGACGCTGCTAAGCACCAGCTCTCAATGTAAGCCAGCTTTACATGGTTTGGAACTAGTAACTGAGCACAGTACAGGAAGGAGGAAGCTCTTTTCTATGGTGCCAGGCCCTCAGGATACCTGATCCCATAACGATCAGGCCCACCCGGAACCCCAGCCAACATCCCTGTGAAAAGATCCATCAGCCCTGAACCCTGTCCTGCCATACTTGCCTCTAAAACATGTGCCATCTATACTGAGCAACGAAACTTTTACCTGTTGACAAATCTTGGGTTTAATTCATAAAGCGCAACAATCTAGTTCTAAACAGGAGCACTATGTTCAGTCCACGAACTAGGGCAACGGCCTGAGGTTCTGATCAGTGAGACAGGAGGATATGTTCAGGTTGGTTTAGGTTAGAGATGGTGGTCACTGGGATGGTGGTCACCTGGCCAGACCCAGAAGCTCTCAGAAGGACCCACCTTCGCTTCCTGGCTCTCCCTGCAGAGTTGTGCAATCCCTGAACAAACAGAGCTGTGGGCTTCCGAAGTCAGGTCAGGAACAGGTTCAGCAGCACAATGCAGCGAGGCACAGGAGCTGCTGTGGTTGTCTTTCTGCACTGAATCTTGGCTGTGTCGTCCGTCGGCATTTTTGCTGTAAGATCTAGTGCAGGATAAGAGAAGAGAGTGTTAAAAGCTACTCCCTGCCCCAGAAGTCAGTGTGCTGCGGGCTCTTCCCAGTCGGGGGAACACAGCATCATTCACACGAGCCTGCAGAGTCCAAACTGCACCATCAGCAGACTGTGCCAATGTAACTGGAGAAGAAACAGCGGATCCTTGGGCTCCCCCTTCCCACCTCTGCTCTGGACTCATCTCCAAGGCAGTCAATTTAATAAGACTAAAAATTTTGACCTCACCTATAATGCAAATTTGAACTAGATATAAAATACTGGCACGCATCTTAAATGTCAGATGGGAAGTCTGACGTTGCGCAGGTCAATGGCAGTTTTACTTCCCAATTCAAATAGCACTTAGATTTCACCAAGGAGTTCAGAGAGTTTCAAAATTAAGGGTACATATGGAACTTTATAGAGTTTTATGTTCAAATGGCTTAAAATAGAATTCCTTAATATGGTTTATCCCACATTTTAAAAAGCTATCTTTGCATATATACCCATATCACGGTTCACCTTCAGCCAGGAGCAGACCCAAGTATAAGATAAATAGCAGAAAAAGTTGTCCTGGCATTTATAGGATGCTTTTAGTCCCAGCAGATTCTGAAGCGACTTATGGTAATCATTTTCCCAGAGCCAAATTGCAGATACAGCTTTATGATGTTTGCTCTTATACAGATTACTTTTTGAAAGACTTTTAGGGTTTATATTTAATTCTGATGTGTTTTGCACTAGTCAGCAAACCTGTGATAATTAAAACCTTTTCACACACTGACTTTTTAAAGCATAAGGTCCCTGGCACAGCCCAGGACGCTTCAGTATCAGGTCTCTGAATGCAGTGGACTTTGTCTAACTCAGGTGAGTGAGGAAGGGCACACGTTACACTCAGTGGCTAAAGTCATAATAACTGGGAGTGGCACAAGCACAAGGCAGAGCTCTGTGTCCAGTATGGGAGTAAGATTTTTATTTACTAATACCAGGTCACTAATATGGCAAACTCCTGTAAATACACATGCTTCAGAACTGCATGGCCTTCCCTTTCCGGCCACAGCCACACACGTACCTGGTACCTTCCCTGAGGAGTTAATTAACAAGGAGCACCCTCGTTTTCAAAGTTCTCTGTGACAGCACTTCTGAAACTGCTGCCCCAGTGTTCAGTAGGAACGCTCTGATCAAAGTCAGTACACCTGCCTGCTATTCCTTCTGGGCCAGCGGCTCTGCTCCCACAGCGACCACCTTGCTCTCTCCCTTTCTTCATACTTTGAATGGCGTAAGGAAAAAACTTCATCTGACAGATCTTCTATCTGTAACAAAACACAGGGATAGCTGCTGCTGTAATTATGAACATCACTAGAAACAAAGGCTGCCTATATTATGTATAATTCTGCAAAAGTTTGTTCATCAAACGAGAAACAAGAGAAGGCCGCACAACGGCTGCTTGCAGTATAAAGGCACATCAAAATAGATGCAATTCAGCCTACATTCGTACCAGAGCTCCAGTATATGGGATTCTGTCACTTTATTGCTTTACATGTCCATGGTTGATTTAAGTGGATGTAGAAATTATACCCCCCGTGGAACTAACACATTTTTCTCTGTGGTGAGAGGCAGAACACTTAAGAGGACAAGGATTCATTTGCAATCAAGGCAGTGTTAAAAGCACATAATAAAGACAGGAAAAAAATCCAGGCGTTTCCAAGAACTGCTTGAGGAGGAGGCTGGGAGGCAGCAGGATTTGCCAGGTGCTCTTTAAGTACAGAGAAATACGTCTGAGATCACCAAGGACATGGATAGCTCCACGCTGAGAGGAACTCAGCAAACCTGAGGTGCTGCATTCC